AGGCCTCATCTCAGAACCCACCACTGCAACCTGAGAAATGAGATTGTGGTCCAAGAACCCTGGTGTTCCTTTAAAGCCTTTTGGTGTATCTGTGGGGTATCTTTTCAACCACCTGTGTGAGCTCTGATTCTTTTCATATAATTTAGCAAAACAACATAGCGTAACAGATTGAAAACAAAGCAGACATGAGAATCCAGATGTCACTAGATGCTAGTCATATAGACAGTCATTAAAGAGATTTTGAAAATGTGAAACAATGCCATTTCTCTTTTTAATTTTTATAGTTTAGGAAACAAGGTTACTCTTAAAAAAGTACATTTAACTTTACATCTAATCTATTCATTGTTGTTTTGAGTGATTTAGGAGTTAGTGATTACTTTAAAAAATCTTAGTTCTAATCTCTAATAAGGTAAATATAAATAGATATGGTCAACATAAACAAAAGTTCTTTGAGGTTGTAAGTAACTTTTAGAGTGTAAAGTGATCCTGAGAGCAAAATGTTTGAGTCTTGCTACTAAGGAATATTGAGTGTAGGGCTGCAGTGTGTGAATGAGGTGGGGCTTGCCCCACACTGAAACTGAGTTCCCACTCACCCTGCAGCTGCTGCTCTACTTTGGTTTTTTGAGAGGCTGTTCCAGTGTCAGGTTGCTATCCTAGGCAGCGGGAAGGGGATGTTGGTTGGAGATGATCTGTCATATCAAAACATCTGCATCTCGTCACTCCATCAATGGTTTCCTCTGAATCTCAGAATGAAGGGGGTCTTGTAATGAGAAGTCAAATAAGGTCATACTTAATGAGTCATACTTAATGTTTTATTTATTAAGATGTCTTAGAAGAAACTGAGCCTATGTAGTGATCACTGATGTCTAATTCTTGTGTTCAACTGGATGATTCTCACCTATGCCTTTGCATTTAGCAAATTGCAGAATTTGAGAACTATGGAAGTATTTTCTGTTATTTCCATGCCATCCCTAAGCACGAGAACCATCACACTTATGATGCCTCTTTTCTACTCATGGCTTGAGCTCTAATGTTTCTTCTACATGTTGAGTAAGCCCTGTTATAATTTATAATATCAAGTGGCTCATAACATCTGTCAATAGGAATTCAATATTCTGCTAGACAGGGATCAAAATGAGGGTGGAGCCTTCAGTGACAAGAGGACCATGAATGGGACCTGTGTTGGGAGGGACCTGTAATGTCAGAATGGAGTGCAGCTAGGGTAATAAATAATAATACCTCTGGTAATATATGCTGGTCAGGACCAGCTACACAATTTGTTGTAGCCAGTGCAAAATGGAAATGTAGAATCTCTTCTTCAAAAATTCTTAGGAATTTCAAATGGTAACACAAGCATGGGCTCCTTGTAAGCCTGGAGCTCTGTGTGACTTCATAGTTCACATGCCCATGAAGCTGATCTAGTTTCTTATAAATCAATAATATCTCCTAGCATTCACCCTCTCCTGTAATTCCTTGTCACAATGACTCTGGGCTGGCTTTGTGACTTAGTTTGACTAAAAGACTGTGACAGGGTGACCATGTACACCTCTGAGTATATGGCTTTCTTCTGCTGTTTCCACTGTCTTGGAGGCTTGAGGAGCTTGTAAAGATTGGGCTCCATTTTTGGAGAGAACACATGGAGGCAGAGGCTTGTATGGTTTGGGTATGGTTTGTCCTCACCAAAAATCGTGTTGAAGTTTATTTGCCAGTGTAACGGAATTGAGAGGTGTTGGGGCCTTTAAGAGGTGTTTGGGTCATGAGGTCGCTCCCCTCATGAATGAATTGATGTGGTTTTCCAGGTACTAAATTAGTCACCATAATAGCGGGTTGTGATGAAGGTGGGTTGTGCCTCATGTTTTATCCCTTTTTCGGTTTCCCTTTCCACTCCTCCATCATATTGTGACACCACATGAGGCCCTCATCAAAAGCCGAGCAAATGCCAGTGCTATGCTACTTGGAATTCCAAACTTCTAGAATCAGGAGCCAATAACTCTTTATGGATTACCAAGTCTCAGGTATTGTTACAGCAACAGAAAATGGACTAAGACAGAGGTTCTGAATGGTGAAGACAGAGGACAACCAGGCATGCAATGAGGTCCTCTTGAAATTTCTAGCCTAAATTATATCTGCAATAGCAAGCCCACCTGGTACCACATGAAGCCAAAACAATTTGAGTGAGCTACCTCAGAGAATGGTGAGAAATTATATGGTAGACTCAATCTAATAATGGCATTTTCCTGCTCCTTATGAAATGCTGTTATCTCCTTGGAGTCTTGGTTGCAGCTTTAGTTTATCTGTTATCAACCGTTTGACAGCAACTGTCTTTTGGCTACTCAAACCACTTCCCTTGATTCTTTGGTTATCTGAGATGTTAAACATGTCCTCTTTTATTAACCCCAAGAAGTTTTTTAAGCATTTGCTCAGTGCCTGGCACTCTTCTAAACCCAATACATACAGCAATGAGACTGAGTCTTTTCATACCACACAGTGGACTTTAGCTAAACTGCCCTTGTATTTTCCCTACATGTAAGTGGAGAGTGTTACAGTGGCTCTTGGCTATCAATTAGGTCAACTGAACAGAAGCCTAATACCAAGACATAAATGCTGCATAAGAGATGTATGTAGCTGAAATTGCCTGGGTACCAATGTAAATGGTGTTACTGCTTCCTCTGCTTTGGAATAGCCCCAACACCATGATATTAGCAATGTCCATTAAGGGTCTGAAGTCAGGGTCAGATAAGAGTGGATCTCAAATGTGAGACTGGAGACAGGTTATTTCAGAAGCAACCTGAGGAAAGGTTGGAAAATGCAGAATGCTAAGCTCTACATGTAGATGTTCTGTGTCAGTATATCTGGAATGGAGTTCCAAAATCCATGGTGTACCAAGCTTCCCAGGTGATTCAAATGGAAAATACTTAGCCTGTGAAAGATTTTCCAGTATGGCACACACTGCGAGCATGCTGGCAGAAAATGCTGCTTCTGAATTTGTGTATAATGCTTGATAGTGCATTTGTGTATAATGTTTGATAGTGCATTTGTGTATAATTTGTGTATAATGCTTGTGTATAATGCTATATAGTTTATTATCATAGAAGATTGGCTATTGTTCCTTAGGAATTGACTATAAATATGGAAATTTATTCCATATGGAATAAATTTTGTTCCAATGGAACAAAATTAGTAATCTGTGTACTGGTCTTTATAGATCACTGCTTACCCATGGCTTCCTTTTAAAATTTAAAGAATTTTGTACTTTTGCTTTTCCATTTGGTTAGAGGCAGTTGTGAGCAGGAAGAAAAACCCTTCCTGTCCCAGAAATGCTGAGCAGTGTAACTATTATATTTACACTTACTGAATAACCGATCTCTCTAGTTTTTTCACAAGTCAGCCAACTCAGATAGTCTCAAGAGCACTAAATCCTAAGTATACTTTAAAAAGTCCCTCAAGCTTTTTTCTAACTTTTATCCTACCCAAATGCAAAGACTATTTTGAAGGTCAGGGCAAAATAGATTTTACTACAGGTACTTATAGGAATAATGATCAAAGAGATGAAATGATGTAATTTTGGTTAATTATATTTTATTTATCCAATTAATCCATCTTTCAGAATAATCAAACAAGTAATCAAGTAATTCATGAACACAAACCAAATAACCACATATATGCCTCTTTAACACACACATGCATGCACACATCATTTCTCATTAAAGACCCATAGAAGTGCAAAGTGGCTTTGAGTTACAGAGCCATTCTGTCAAAACCCATTATTTTGGAAATGAGCGGAAAGTTAGGATGATTCTCTAAGGTTCCACATCCAACTGGTGGACAATCTGGACTTCATCCCCCAGAGTTTTGTCCTGAGACTTCTATTAATATTTATACAGCTGAGATCATATAATGGCCCACTACTACAATCCTAAGTATGGGTATGCGTTGTATTTTGAGAAATGTACATGGTAGGAAATTTGTCCAAGGAAATTGCCAGATCCTAAGAGCTTTCATTATGGCTGACAATCAAAAGGAGCTTCACACAATCTGTGCTCTGTGATATGACAGGGAGAGAAGAGACTCCAGTTTCACTTTAGTTGGAAGCATATATAACTAGCGGAATGACTCCTTTAAACATGACTTGTCTGTGATTCTGATGATTCTGCGTCATTCTAGCTGCCCTTTGACGGTAGGAGCCATCTTGACTTTATCTTTGCATTCCAAGTGCCTGGGTCTGTGCTTGTGTTGTGAGAGGTGCTCAGTGTTTGCTGAAGTGATCCTGTCTGCTCTACACTGTCTGTGAGACTCAGTTTACACTTCCTTCCCTCCACAGGGGACACTAGTGAGACCAGTAAGAAATCAGAGCAAGGAGCACAGAGATGAGAAATTTGTTGACCAGGTGTCCACCTCAGAACTGCGCACCAGGAAATGGGTTGGAGTATGATGAAGCACAGTTTGCATGAAGAAATTTGGAAATTTTTCTGGAATGGAGAAATAAAAGAAAAAACTTAAAAGCTTTACTCATTTAAGGCCGGGCGCGGTGGCTCACGCCTGTAATCCTAGCACTCTGGGAGGCAGAGGTGGGTGGATTGCTCGAGGTCAGAAGTTCGAAACCAGCCTGAGCAAGAGCGAGACCCTATCTCTACTATAAATAGAAAGAAATTAATTGGCCAACTAATATATATAGAAAAAATTAGCTGGGCATAGTGGCGCATGCCTGTAGTCCCAGCTACTCGGGAGGCTGAGGCAGCAGGATCACTTGAGCCCAGGAGTTTGAGGTTGCTGTGAGCTAGGCTGATGCCATGGCACTCACTCTAGCCTGGGCAACAAAGTGAGACTCTGTCTCAAAAAAAAAAAAAAGCTTTATTCATTTAATCCACAGGTGCTCACACTGTTAACTTTGACACTTTAAGTCATGATGTAAATATGAGATTAAGAAATGCTAGTACACAGAATAAATTTTGTGTGTTAGTCCACCTTTTCTTACAGCTAGGAAAAGGGAGAAAATAGGTGAAAAAACCCTAACAGCCTGTGTGTATTGTTAAGAGTGTCTCAAGCAATAAGTGATGGCTATGGCTTCATGAACAATTATATCTCAGATAATAAAAAACAAAACCCAGTTTCTGTCTATTTTTCAGTTCCCCTCTCCTCCATCTTTGCTTCATTTCAGGCAGATGGATTTGTAAGATGGCTTGAGCAACTCCAGGCCGTAGGTCGTCTCTTGATCTAACGCAGCATGAACGAGCACTTGCCTCATCCTCCAACGTTCCTAGCTAATATCTCTGATTGGGTCAACTGCTTGAGGACCCGACCACTGTGACCCTAGAAATGAGATGCATGTATTGATTACCTTGTTCCTGGAGCTGGGGTGGAGTCTATCCACCCAAATCACAGCCTAGGACAGAAAAGACGATGAGTTAAAAATAAAGTAACACAACAACAGAAACAATCTTGATACAGTTTCTAAAAGAGGGAGTGAAGTCTGGCCATCCTCAAACAACCAATAGTCCCTACTTCCGTTCTCAATATGGTCACACCTCTCCCAGACAACGTTCCTCACCTCCACACCTGCTGTCCTTCCTCTCTGGTGCCAGGACTCCTGCACAGAAAGTGCCCGAGGGGCAGAGGCTACCCCTCTTCATCTTTGTGTCCGAACTGGCAGCCCCCAGACAGCACCCCTACCCAGGGGGTGGTGATCTCTGGCTCACAGAACTGGTACCACCCTGAAGTGCTCTAGTACAACTCCTGACAGTGCCAACCCTGAGCGTTCCAAGCCTCAGATTATGAAGGCTCTTCTTAATTCCTGACCTCCTCTCCCTCATTTGATCCTTCATGGTGGGGATTGGAAACGGGTTCCTGGGAGAGTATCTGAAGGGGACAGCAGACGGGACTGGGCCTCTTTTCATAAAAGCAAACCTTTCACCTTAAAATTTGTACCCCCATAATATGCCGAAAAAAAAAAAAAAAAAAGGCAAACCTTTGAAGTGACCAGCACAACCTGGGCAAGAGCCTTGTCCGGGAAGGGCCATAGGCAGCGCCGGGGTAGGTTTCCGCGGCCTCCGCACTGGCCGGCAGGGGGCGCTGCGGCGCTGGGACCGCTGCGTGAAGAGGACTAGCGCTTTCCTCCTGTACTAAAACCTGGAACTTCCAAATACCTTTTCTGTAATAATGAGGAAAAGCGCAGGGAAATGAACTCAGGGGATTTCAACATCCCAAAGCATATCAGCTTTCAAAGCACACGGTTCTTACAATTGCTCAGCTAACGGGCTCCCCAGCTCTATGTCATGCTACCTGCAGCCTTAGGATATTCACACTCTGTCCAAGGTGAGGAGCGGGATAGACCTACACAGTGAGTGCCAGTTTAGAGCCCTGAGCTGTCTGCCACCGCGTGGTGGGAGTGGAGAAGGAAGAGAGCAGGAGAAGAGTGAGGGATAGCTAAGTGACTATGATTCTCAGCAGGGGAGGGATAGAGGTCTCTCTAACCCTCGGTCTTTCAGGTCATTGAATACTACATTATTATGTAGTTTTAAGTTTTACTTGATTTCTTCATTGTTTGAACTTTCTCCTAGCAGGGAGTCTGAGTTTAATTATTCTGTATCTATTTATATCTCTATATCTATCTCCGTATCTATATCTAGACACATATGGAATGTAGATATGGAAAGTGCATATGCACCAATGGAATGCATATACATTCACATGGCAAAAATGTCAATTCAATCATTATTCTTTCACTGAAAGAATATTCAGTGAAAAGGATATCTCCATTTACTCTTTACTTATTGGAGCTAGTTTTGAATTCCAGGAAGAATAATTATTCAGGTTTTTGGTAGCCTTTCTATTATATGTATACATACAAACATATAGGCTTATTCTCAGTTGCACAGATTTCTGTATGTAATTCCTCCTTCCTTCCTGCACCCTCGGACAGTAACATTCTATAAACAGTGTTTGCTCTGGACTGATTTATGCCCCTCCAAAATCCATTGAAGTTCTAACTCCCAATGTCACTGTATCTGGAAGGAGGGCCTGCAAAGAGGTAATTCAAGTTAAAATAAGTCATAAAGGTTGGACCCTGATTCAACAGGATTAGCATCCTTATAAGAAGAGACACCAGAGAGCTTATTCCTTCTACCCGACATGTAAAGACACAGTGGGAGGGCAGCTGTCAGCAAGCTGGGAAGGGAGCCCTCACCAGAAACTGAACTCTGCCAAAACCTTGGATTGCCCAGCGTCCAAAACTGTGAGCATGATATTGTGATTTATGATAAGAAATAACATATATATTTGGTCTTCATCTCTGTTTCCTGACACATAGCTCCTAAAACTCTTAAAATTTCTGAAGTGTATATGTAATGAAATGACTGGTGGTTGCGACACCTGGAGAGCCTCGCGATGTGTGTGGCTGGTTGCTAGGAGGACAAACAGTGATTATGGGACCTTAATAGGTTTGCTGCCTGATGTGCAGCAAGTCAATACACTTGGATTGTAGCAGAGAAAGAGGTTTAAATGTAAGGCTACTGAATGAGGAGATGAGTGGAAACCTCAAATCTGCCTCCCTGAGGAGTTTGGAGTAGGCTGAAACATGGGGGTTGTAGATTGTTTGAAGAGTGCAGGGTGAAGTGATGGGAAGGTGAGATGGAGAAACTGCATCCTCATGCATATTCATTTCCTCTGTGGGAGTCTTCAAACTGGTTGGCAGCAGCTGTTATGCTGGAATTCTGAAAAACATGGTAAGCAATTCTTAAACAAAAGTCTTGTGATTCCAATGTTGGAAATCCTGTCTGTAGGAACAACGGGGATACAAACGGTCAGTATCCAGAGCTACCATATGTAACTTTTGGTGAGTAAACAGCCACAAGGAAGTGGGCCAAAGTGCAACCTGATTAATGCTTAATTGTACCTATATTTTTGTCCAGAACCTGACATGCAATTCTTGTCAACTCTGGGGGGATGGTTTCAATTAGAGGGTTGGAACTTTCATTCCCACCCCTAACCTCTGGGGAGGGGAGAGAGATGAAGGTTGAATTGATCAGCAGTGGCCAGTGATTTAATCAATCATGCCTACATAAAACCCCCAAAGGAGAAGGTTTGGAGAGCTTCTGGGTTTGATGACAAGAACACATCCACAGGCTGTGACAGTGGCACAACCTAACTCCACAAAGACAGAGGATCCTGCACTCACGACCCTTACAAACCTTGTCCTGTGTAATCTCTTCATCTGTATGTTTAGTATATCCTTTATGATAAGTGTGTGAACGTAAGTAGTGTTTCTCTGTCTAAGTGCTGTGAGCCATTCTAGGAAATGATAGAACCTGAGGAGAGAGTGATGAGAACCTCTGATTTGTAGCCAGTAGGTTAAGAGCACTGATATCAATCTGCTACTTGTGATTGGCCACTGAAGTGAGGAACAGTCTTGTGGGACTGAGCCCTTAACCTGTGGAGTCTGCACTAACTCCAGTTATTGTCACAATTGAATTGCAGGACACCCAGTTGGTGTTGGAGAATAGGTCCATGTGGGAAAACCTGTCCAAGTTTGGTAACCAGAAGTGTAAGTGTGAGTATAGAGGAGAATAGCTGTTTTTTCCTGCACTAGGAGAAAGACATTTCTGTGTTTAAGCAGCCCAGTGTGTAGTATTTGGTTGCAGCAGCCTATGGCATTTTGTTATAGCAGCCCAAGCAGACTGTTACAGTGGCCTATGCCATACTTCTCTTCCACTAACAATATATTTTGGTAATATTTAATGCCAGTAGCATGCTCATTTTATTGAATAGCTGCATAAAATTCCATTGTAAATATATACAACCATGTTTTAATCAGTTATGGGGGATATTTTGTTTATTTCCAAATTTATTACTTTAAATAATTCTGAACTGTATATCCCAAATGAAAGAGCAACACCAACCCCTGTGTATGTATCACTAGTGCATTGCTGTTGACGAGTCACCCCTGTGTACTGTCCGTGTTTTTAGGGCCTGATGTACTGAAGCTCCTGCACATGTACAGGATTTGATAGCTGTGGTTTGACAACAGCAAATCCTTCCAGCTGCACATGTGTGTCACTTAACCAACAGATCCTGGGAACGAACACATTGTCACCACAAATAATCACATGTAGTGGAAGAACATCTCTGTCATTTTCCATGTAATGAGAATCTGGTAACATCTCTACACTCAGAATTTTGGGGTTAGACTCTGATCTTTCCAGATTAGAGATACTAGAAAGGGTGGACTTAATGCCTATTTTTATATGTAGAATAAAAATGTGGGCACTGGGAAGTATAACTTTTTTCATTTTCATATGGTGACTATTGTAGAGCAAATTGAAAGCTAAAGCAACTTCTGAGAGGAAATCACTTTATTTATATAAACTTGTTTAACCCTCACAATAGTCTATAAGG